GTGCTTTGAATTCGACAATTTGTTCCGGACAAAACTTATCGTGTTTCTCCTATTTTAAAATTGTGAAATGAGTTTAGAAATTATGAAAAGATATTTTTGAAAAATCGTTTGAAGTGTTGTTCATTCACCAAGGAAGACAAACTTAATTTTTACTTTGAATTCGACAATTTTTCCGGGGACAAAACTTATCGTGTTTCTCCTATTTTAAAATTGTGAAATGAATTTAGAAATTATGAAAAGATATTTTTGAAAAATCGTTTGAAGCGTTGTTCCTCCACCAAGGAAGACAAACCCAGTTTCTTCTTTAACACTAGAACTACCGATAATTATAGTGTGTTTATTTGTATCAAGGAAATTGAAACGATAGAAATGTATAATGCAATGGAAATAAGTATTTATTCATTCTCTTATAGAAAATAACGATTTTCCAAAAATTCAGTCGAGTAAATTTTTTACAGGTTTTATTAGAAATTACGAATGGGTCATTTTGACTAGTTTTATAGTTCTAGTGTTAAATTCGACAATTTTTCCGGGACGAAACTTATTGTTACTCCTGTTTTAAAATTGTGAAATAAATTCAGAGATTATGAAATGACATGACTGTCACGAGATGCCGTCACAGATTAAAATAGACGGTTCGACGTGAGTGTAGGCGGTTTTCAAAAATCGAATTTACGGGGAACTCTGACTGACACAATTTACGCAACAGCCTAATAATAGGTACTAGGAACGTAGCCTCTGACAAGACTAAGTACATCGTAGATAAAGTATCGCGTTCGCGATTGAGCTTGCATGCTATTAGAACGCTATCGAATGGCTCTGTCGAAAGGTCGGTAAGTAAATCGAGAAACGGGAACCACTTCCCGTGACGCTCGACCGCAATGCACAGGCTCGATCCTGTAACAACTAATGCCACGATCCCACTGATACTCTAGTTAAACAAAAAAAAAACAATTTCTCGAACAACCAATAAAATGTACAAACTTATTCGTGGATAATGGAATCAAAATTTACACTGTGAGATCAGAAGTTCTTTACGACTTCGATGACCAAGAGAAAGTTAATTGTTCCAAGCTCGTTACAAACGAAATATAGTTCCACATTAGATCATGTTTCATATTCTAACGTGTTAGGCATATTCGCGATTAAATCTGTGTGTTTGTGATTTTCCTATAACTTGTAATATTTCTGTTCAATCTGGATGAAATTTTGTTTAGTTTCTCCTTATATTCCAATGGAAAATATAGACTATTTAATTTTCAGAAATATGAACTCTGGTAATTATTATTATTTTTTCATGTTCCAACGCGGAAGACCTATTTCTGTGTAGAACCTGTGTTTTTATTGGCAATTTATATTAAATTTGATTCAATGCAACGATAAAAATATTAACTTAACACGTCAGATTCCATATTTAAAATTGCAGAACGCGTAAATATTATTTTTTAACAACTTAAGTTGAATTTGACAGATGCAATGGCATGAATACACATTCTAATTGAAAGAAAAATCGTATTTTAAGGTAATCGTCAACATGAAAGGTATCAATAAATATACGTGCGATCAATAAAATATGAGATCAATAATATATGAATATATGAGAATATATAAGATCAATGCCCACTAAATCTGACATTAAAAAGTTTCCCCTGATCGAACAATGGAAAGAAGCTTAATCATTTCCATCCAAAAAGTTCTCTAGCAGAACCAGAGTCTATCAGAAGATTACCAAACATAGGTTTCAACGATTCTGAGTTCCTATCGACGAAATGCAAGCACGATCGAGGCATTAGGGGGTTTCCCCCAGTCGGTGAGGTCGATTTAGAGATCCCCGGTGTCTCGATTCGCCCTTAGATCTCGCAAGTTTCTTCGAAAGGTCGCGTGCACGGACACGCGCTGGCACCGGAGTCATTTTCACGGATGGAAACGGTACCCTGGTGATTCTGTCGCTATCTGATGCTTTTTATCTACCTGGCCAGGTACGTACGATTAAACGAAAACTCCCACGCGCGTCACGTAACTCGAAAACGGAGGCGAAATCGATGGCTCGTTCCTAGCATTGCTTTCCCCGATACGACGAATGTTTCTGCCGCGATATCCCCGGCGACGACGTTCCCAGAATTTCGTCAGCGGATAGTTTCACCTTAACCTCGAGCGTACTTGACCGAATTATCGCGGTCTCCCTTTTCTTCTCCACGTTCGGTGGAAAATGTACGAAGAAACACAATTAAAACGTGATTTTTTTTTAAATTTTAACCCTAGTCTATCTGGACGAAACAGCTGTGTATGGTTCCTCTTTGTCAATGGCTGGAATGATATATAAAAATATGAAAGCTTCCGTTTGATGAAATAAACATCTGCTGCAGACTCTTAAAATCGACCTAAAGGTAATCAATTTGTGTAAGATGTAGATGGGCTTGATTTGCGTATGTGGGCGTTTAATGTGCTTTCGGAGCGAAAATCACCGGTGACGAGAATGTTTAGGTCCCCGACAGGGTCGCGAGGACGTGAATCACGCGTTAAATAGGTCGCGGTGCACTCCACGCCGTCTGCGATCGGCGAAGGTTACGAGAGACAAACCTATAGTCTTCAGTTCAGAGTCATCCGAAACGGAAAAGGTCGGCCGGATAATTGCCCAACAGCCTTTTTCGACCCACTTTCCCACCTGGGGGTCCCCTGGACCCCGCCAGGGGCTGGGACGACTCGATTATACCAATATCTCGATGCCCAAAATGTAAACACATTGATCACTCTTCGAGAAAACACAAAATTTCTATAAAAGATCAAGAATAAAGTCCAAAATAAAACGTCAAACTTAAATAATTTGATTTATGAATACCAAGAATATCCATTCGATGGACAAAATATTCAAGCATTCGAATATTCAAATATCCAAAATATAAACACATTGGTCACTCTTTAAGAAAACACAAAATTTCTAGAATAGATCGAGAACAAAGTTGAAAACTAAACGTCAAACTTAAATAATTCGATTTACAAGTGCCAAGAATATCCACATACATCCATTCAATGGACAAAATATTCGAGTATTTGAAAATTTCAGTATCCAAATAATTCGATACCCAAAATAGAAACACATTGGTCACTCTTTAAGAAAATACGAAAGTTCAATAATATTTTATAATCGAAAATGAAGTTCAAAACGAAACATCGAACCTAATTTGATTTATGAATACCAAGAATATGTAGATATATCCATTCAATGGACAAAATATTCGAGTATTTGATTATTCCAGTGTCCAAATAATTCGATATCCAAAATATAAACACATTGGTCACTCTTTAATAAAACAGAAAAATTCTATAATATTCTAAATCGAAAATAAAGTTCAAAACGAGACATCAAACCTAATTTGATTTATGAATACCAAGAGTATGTAGATATACCCAAAATATAAACACATTGGTCACTTTTTAATAAAACAGAAAAATTCTATAATATTCTAAATCGAAAATAAAGTTCAAAACGAGACATCAAACTCTAATAATTCGATTTATAAGTATTTTATCTTCCAAGGACGGTCGTTGACTGTGAACCTCTCTATCTGACCGCCTCGAGAGTTTCAATTACGCGGGAATTCTTCGATTACGATTCCTGAGTTTTCGCGGGTACGTTGGATAGATCAGACGTAGGTGTTCGAAACGCCGGTAATTGACTCGAATGCCGGATCCTTGGCTTCGTTGCCTTAATAAGAAACGCCGAATGCAAGATCTATGGTCCGTTCGGGATCCGTGAATCATTGTTCGGGGCACGTTGGCGATCCGAGGTTCGCACGATTACGAAGCCCGACTGTCGAACGCGATTCTTATCCTCGATTTCGAGGTCCATTTTATTTCCATCGATGAAACGATCAAAAATAATACCGTCGAATTCCTTCCAAATAAACACTTCGAGAATTCCCCCCCAAATAAAAAACAAATCCAGATCCTTTCACAAAATGGTCGATAGCACCTCGAAGAATTAGAATATTTCAGAAACTAGAAATTAACTTCTTTTCGAAAATAAAAATTCAAAGATAAACGCAATTAATTAATTTTCGAGGGAACAGAGAATTAAAAAAGTAATACTGGCCAGTCGAATCCCTTCAAATTAAAGACTTTGAGAATTCCCCCCCAAATAAAACCAAATCCAGATCCTTTCACAAAATGGTCGATGGTACCTCGAAGAATTAGAATATTTCAGAAACTAGAAATTAACTTCTTTTCGAAAATAAAAATTCAAAGATAAACGCAATTAATTAATTTTCGAGGTATCAGGGAATTAAAAAAATAATACTGGCCAGTCGAATCCCTTCGAAATAAAGACTTTGAGAATTTTCCCCCAAATAAAAAACAAATCCAGATCCTTTCACAAAATGGTCGATAGTACCTCGAAGAGTTAGAATATTTCCGTTCAGAAACTAGAAATTAACTTCTTTTCGAAAATAAAAATTCAAAGATAAAAGCAATTAATTAAGCCAGTCGAATCCCTTCAAAATAAAGACTTCGAGAATTTCCCCAAATAAAAAACAAATCCAGATGCTTTCATAAAATGGTCGATGAATATTTCTGTTCAGAAACTAGAAATTAATGAGAAAATTTAATTTTCCCTGAACTGATTGGGGGCAGTTAGTCGACATTTTGTGTGATTCTATATAAGAACTCAAAGAAAAAAGTAATGTGTTTTAATTAATTTCTGAACAGATAGAAAATGAAATTGTGTCGACGTTTCGCGTGACTCTAGAGAGTGACTCTAACGCGATCCCAGTCGAGTTTCAAGCGTCACACCCGGTGTGCACGCTAATTCATGCACCGCAACAAAGTTATTATTACCATCTTCATAATCCCCGAGTATTTATAACATTTCGTAAGCGGCGCGCGGATTCGTTCGCTCGAAATACCGAATACCGCATCGCGGGCGAAGTTTCCGCGGCAGTCTCTGTATCGATTTCCGGGCGAATTTCGAACGATTGCATTAGAATTGTCGTCGATTTACGTACCAGCACGGAAGATCTCGCCGCATCCGTCGCAACGGCTGGCGAATTGGGCATCGTAGCAGTTGCCGCAGTAGATCTTGTCCACCTTGCTACCGAACTGTTTGTCCACCAAGGACACTCTGCACCTGTTGCAGAGGAAGCAGGCCTCGTGCCAGTGCTTGTCCTTGTACGACAGATCCTGCGAACAGCGTTCGAATTATCGCAAACTGGTCTCATCCTTCGCGAGATGCTCCTTGAGCCTCGAAATCAGAGATCCACCACCATTTTCTTCGATAATAAACAACAAACGCGAACGAAAATCATGTAACAGGAACTAACCCCTCCAGTATAGGCTATTTAATCCATAAAAACTGGTTATTTAGCAAAAAGGAAACACTTTTTTCGAAGAGTAAAATAGCTTGGAGTTACCATCGATAGTTACATTGTTACTCTTCTTTTACAATTTCTTTTGCAGATTAAATCTGAAATGTTCTGCTGGTTCTCGCTTGTTTTTATCGAAAGACAGCACTTTTTTGAGAGAAACAAATACCTGGGGAACAGGAGAGACAATTTTGAACGCGAATATACTCTACGAAACAGAATGCTTGGACCTGGGAAAATCAGAGATCCACCACCATTTTCTTCGATAATAAACAACAAACGCGAACGAAAATCATGTAACAGGAACTAACCCCTCCAGTATAGGCTATTTAATCCATAAAAACTGGTTATTTAGCAAAAAGGAAACACTTTTTTCGAAGAGTAAAATAGCTTGGAGTTACCATCGATAGTTACATTGTTACTCTTCTTTTACAATTTTTTTTGTAAATTAAATCTGAAACGTTCTGTCGGTTCTCGCTTGTTTCTCTCGAAAGACAGCACCTTTGTAAAAAGAAACAAATACCTGGGGAACAGGAGAGACAATTTTGAACGCGAATATACATACTCTACGAAACAGAAAGCTTGGACTTGGACGAGCAGAAAATATTGACTCTGGGACAAGGACATCGACTCTAAGGAAACCATAACGCAGTCTAGGTCGCCGTTAAGGAAGTAGAAAACGATCAACCGGTTCACGAGATCGACGTAAACGCCGGGGATTAGCAAGACGCCATTAACCTAGCAAACACCCGGAGGAAATGTTTTTTTTATCGGTATTAGAATTTACTTTAATATCACGCGATTTTTAATACACGTAGTTGAGACCTGAACGAAGAGTATCGCGATTCTTTTGGAACCTTGTTTACAATATATATCGAATAAAAAAATACAATACTCAGCAACGATTTACTTGATTTTTCTGGTCTGGAATATTCTCAGATTTTTATTGATAAAACTGATAGTTTAATTCTTATGATTCTATGATTTTTTAATAATAAAGTATGTTCATAGAAGCTTACAGTATTATTGTTTATTATTTTGTAAATTGTACGCTACAACAGGGACGAGAAATTGGCTGGCGTGTCTGATTAGTAACAGGTATAATCTACTTCCCGTAGGCGCGCCTTTTCCTGGGTTTGTAGAAAGGAGATTATGCCATTCTTGGTCAGACTAGTTAGCCCAGACTCTCGTCTCCATCGTGCATTTTAACGTTATGGTAACTTTGAACGAACTTTTCCCTCATAAAAGAATTATTTATCACCACGTATTCTTATTATTCCAACATTTGTATTATACGAAAATGTTCTTCCATAACAATTAAAGAGTTATCATTTTTGTGGGCGGTTGTAACGATTCGTACATCGAGGAATAAAAAGTGAATTCATTAGACAAGCGTTCGCGCGGGTTTCCATTTCTGGATCGATTATAATCGCGAACTCGTCGACCTCTACGACGATCGTGCGTCGTTTCAGGAACGTGGATCCTTGGATCGACTGATCACCCGTTTCGTTCGCGGCCATGCATCCTTCCTCGCAGAGTTGGCCACAAAATTCACGAACAACGAATAAAATAAATGATCAAACTAACATCCATCTCGATTAGAATCTATGGACAGATTTTTTCAATCATCTCGAACATCGACAGACATTAAATTTGGAATTCGGGGTAAAAATAGTGTCTCACAACGAGACGATTAATAGCAAAAAGATCAAGGATCAAAAATAGCAGGTAAAACAAATATTTACTGAAAGTTTGATACTTTGATGATCAGAAAATATTAATGAAATCGCGAAGTCGACTTGAATTTTGTCTTGGAACGCTCGCGACTCGTTTCGAGCGAATTTCTGCAACTGCGAGCGAAGGAGGGGAAGACACGAACAGCCGAGAAACGGAAATAAGCTCTCGAAGCCGATACGGGTAGCGGCACCTGCATCATCGTTTCTATTTCTAGGAATGAGTAAGTCAACGCCCATGGCTGCTCGCGTATCGCCACCTCGTCTTGTGATTATACACGAACCGATAATTACCCGATTTTTGCGCGGAATTGCTTCTTACGGAACATCCTCCGCGTCCCCGGAAGGTCTTCCACGAGAATACGACGCAAAAGGAGCTCGTTGATCGGTCGAAAAACCGATGTAAAATCACAATTTAAAACCTGGAAGCTCCATTTGCCTCTTAAATGGTCCCCGAAAGAATACCCGCTTATGTGCAATCTTTTCCCCCCGGTTACAAGCAAACCCACGACGAAACTTTGCAGAAATGTTCATTGAATTGATCTCTCGTTGTTCCCAGTTCTCATATTTATTTACTTTCACCTTATATTTTTACAAATAAATATTACAAGTTCATGTGTGTTTGTGATTTTCCTATAACTTGTAATATTTCTGTCCAATTTGGATGAAATTTTGTTTAGTTGGTACTTATATTATAATGGAAAGTATATGCTACTTGATTTGCAGAAATATGAACTCTAATAATTATTATTATATACGAAATAGTTCCCCAGTCTCGACTTTAGATAAAGCAAGTTTCATATTTCAAGTCAGAAGACTCATTCGCGTTCAAAATCTGTGTGTTTGTGATTTTCCTATAACTTGTAATATTTCTGTCCAATTTGGATGAAATTTTGTTTAGTTGTTCCTTATATTCCAATGGAAAGTATAGGCTACTTAATTTGCAGAAATATGAACTCTGGTAATTATTATTATTTTTTCAAATTCCAACGCAGAAGGCCTATTCACGTTTAAAATCTGTGTGTTTGTGATTTCCCCTGTAACTCCCACGATTTTTGTCCAATTCGAATGAAATTTTGGTTAGTTGTTCCCTATATTCCAATGGAAAGTATAGACTATTTAATTTGCAGAAATATGAACTCTAGTAATTATTATTATTTTTTCAAACTTCAACGCAGAAGAATTTCTGTCCAATTCGAATGAAATTTTGTACGGTTGTTATTTATTATTCGACTATGGGTTTCCAATGTATAAATTGACGTGTTTGTACCTTCGAGTCGATGCCAATGATTTTGTTGCATTCCTCGCAGCCGTTCGCGAAGACGCTCTCGTAGCACTTGATGCAATAAGGGTGTTCATCCCTGAGAACGTAGCGTTGACCGGTCAGGGACTCGTCGCACTGCCAGCAACAGAAATGGCCGCTGTGCCAGTCCTTGTTCATCGCCTTCGTGTACTCGCCACTGAAAATCAACTGGAAAAGGAAAAAGAAAACGCGTCGAGTTTAGAACCAGATCCTCCGTGTACACTCTTGGAACACTCGTTAGACACGATCTCCCCTGGATTAATCACTGTACGGACGCGATCTTCGACAATAATCAGCAAAGTTAATGAAAATTACCGTGTACTATGTTATCGTTGGACCGTGAAGTACACGGTAAATAATTCTCAGCTAATTTTGAGCAATTTCCCGATCGTAAACACTACTGTACGCGCGGGGGGAAGTAAATGAAGACGATTTACGGTGCCCCGTTGCGTGGAAAATTACGCAATTTCTATTAAAGATTAATCGTTTCGGACCTGAATACTTGGATACAAAAATAGTTCGAAAGATACTCCAACTTTAGTTTTTTCCTAATTGCATTAGATTCAAACTCTTAAACTGAGGTTTCTGGTACTTCTATGCATTAAATAATTTCTAAACTAATCGTTTCTCGAGACAAGTGTAATTTTGGAATGTTAGAAACCTAGTAATCGTTGCAAAAGAAACACCTTTTATAATATTTAACCTACGCTGATATTATTAGTTAATAACGTGAATTAGTGACTTGAAAACGTTACGTCAGGTCTGAAAAGGTTAATACACAATGTGAATGACAAATGGTAAATCGTCTCCGGTTGACAGATTAAACAGCACGAGGATCGACGTCGATGAAAAACTTCGATGCACTCCTCTCACAGCATCGTTTTTTTTTTTTTTTTTTTGGAATATTTTTTTTTCTCTTTTCGTTCACGCGAATTCCTCCCATCTCGCGTTTCCGCGTTCGACGGTGTAGAATGGATCTGTTGCTGGTCGGTATGTACCTTGGTTGAGTGCTGTTGTATGTGCTGGCTGAGTATTTTTTGTACGGGAGCATATATCTATCTACTATGTGACGTAAGCATGTATCGTGACGCGAATGGGGCCTGGGATTGCTCGTCGATACTTTTTTCCAATCCAATATTCGAATATTTTAGGTACCAATAAATCTGAGTTTTCAAAATTCTGTCTCTATACATTTGGAACACAAAATTTAATAATCGTTTCGAAACTCTATGTAGAATGTTGGAAATAAAAGATCTAAATTAAAAAAGAAAAATTCACGGATAGAATAAAACTGAACAGTCTACTGTTTCTAATATGGAGAGTAACTGACCCGAGTACTTAAATATTTAAGACTGGTAAAAAAAGCCACCGCGGCGACAGCGTTAAAAATTCTCGAACCTAAAATAGCCATTGGTTTAATAATTCAAGTCCTTTAAGAGCGTCGTTCTTACTTCATATTTTAAACAACGAAATCCTCGAGTAACGACAGTCTGGAGTACTAAAATATTCGAATAGTTGAACCTTTCGGACCCAGAATTTTTATTATCGTTTCATAAATATAAATTGTAATACTTTTCCCTCGATAATTAGATTTTCCCCGTTTGGTTAATAAATAAAGATAGCAATTGGCGTATTTAGAGTACTGGAGCGCCTGTTAAATGTTTTGATAGTCCCAGCCCTGGGGGGATTCCCGCGGGAGTCGCTGATCTATTCGCTCCTGTGAGAGAAGAGCGTCCCTCTGGGGCCACCGCCCTCGGGATCCGCGAATTCCGTCGAAAACATCGGTCGAAAGCTCGTAAATCCACGGAAGCGAACCGTGGCGACATTTTTAGGTCGAGAAAACCAAAACTGGGAGGGGTGACAACGATCGAACCGATGCGATGGCGACGAGAGGGTTTCCATCTTCCTCGAAAGTGGGTCGCCATGCAGAGGCGAGTACAGCTTGTTTCATCCAAAAAGGCGACGTTCCTACCAAAATCGTGAACACCATTTTCAAAAACTAATTCGGTTCAAACTAATTCGTGCGTCCTAGAATGGATGAACAGAAGGATTTCGATTGGTAATGCACACATTAGGGTGAACAGTTTGAACTTTGGAACCCTCATGCTAACAAGAAACATCGATCTTCCTCGAGGATCTAATATTCCTTGAGAATAGGGCTAACGAACACTGTTCAAACTAGAATGGGGATGAACAGAAGGCTTTCGATTGATAGAATCAGCTTGGTGATGCACCATTTGTTAACAAGAAGCTTGTGAAGCAATTCGAACATCTATGAACTCAATAGCTTCAACTTTGGAACATGGATCTTCCTCGAGGATCTAATATTCCTTGAGAATAGGGCTGATGAACTCTGTTCAAACTAGAATGAGGATGAACAGAAGGCTTTCGATTGATAGAATCAGCTTGGTGATGCACCATTTGTTAACAAGAAGCTTGTGAAGCAATTCGAACATCTGTGAACTCAATAGCTTCAACTTTGGAACATCGATCTTCCTCGAGGATCTAATATTCCTTGAGAATAGGGCTGATGAACTCTGTTCAAACTAGAATGGGGATGAACAGAAGGCTTTCGATTGATAGAATCAGCTTGGTGATGCACCATTTGCTAACAAGAAGCTTTTGAAGCAATTCGAACATCTACGAACTGAATAGTTTGAACTTTGGAACATCGAACTTCCTCGAGAATCTAATATTCCTTGAGAAGAGTGCTGATAAACGTGGTTCAAACTATTTCATTTGAACTAGAACGTCTGAACAGAAGACTTTGGAGCAATTTGAACTTTGGAACATTGACCTTTCTCAAGCATCTAATATTCCTTGAGAAGAGTGTTAATAAACAAGGTTCGATCTATTTTCGTGCTACAACGAATGAACAGAAGCCTCCAATGAGCTTCTAGCTTTTATCGCTAGAACCAGAGCAATAACCCTTTCAAACATCTATGACAACAATACCAGTATAGTTTGTACCCCCCGAGAGGGTTCAAGAAGCTACCATTCACGAGGACGTTTCTGTCCGACAAAACAAGCTCTACTCGCTATTTGCTACCCATAGAATCCCATCGACGTCACCCTCAAGCCCCCCAAAATGGGCCTTTTCAGTTTGCAACCCCCCCTTCGAAATAATTCCCTAGTAAACGATACTTTTCGAAAGAGATCTGTACTCGAACGACACCGCGGACCGATTTGTCGAGGAACAGATCGCCGGGGGTGGCGGTGAACGCTCGAAAAGGGCGTCGAGGGTAAAGAAGGGGTTACGTAGGGACCGATTCTCGGCACGTCTGCAGCCAGCACATACTCTTCGATGGCGTGGTGGTTGTTCTGCGAGCTGTCGACCTCGGTGATCGTGACCTCGGCGTTCTGATCGTGGCTCTCCCTGCGCTTGGTCGTCTTCTTCACTTTGCGAACCTTGCGCTCGGTGGTCGAGTACACTACACTGTCTACGTCCGCCATGTCGTTAATGATACGCTCGACGGTTGGTTACGGTACGCGCGTTTAATACGGTTTCACACGACGAGGAAGAGGAGGTTCGGGACTTCGGGAGACTCTGTGTCGCGGAGGTGCGCTGTTAGGGATTCTGGTCGATGGCTTCTCCGTCTGGTCGCTATGGAAATGGAACAGAGCGTCGGTTCTCCGTGTAACCAGCAGCTTTCGAGCTTGCGAACTGACTGAAATCTAGGATCGGACCGCTCCGGGCGTCATCATATCGGGACGCTATTTTCGGCGTCCCGACGACTCCAGAATACGCGCCGCGCGCGTCCCACCCTCCCTTCCCCTCTCCTCTCTCTCTCGTTTCCTCCCCACTGGGTTTCTCCTTCCGCCGAGATTCTCGTTGCAGTGTGCCGGGTGCAACTTTTCCTACGACGCCCCTTCTTTCTCCCGTCCACGACGATGTCCCGGGGCTCTCGTTGGCGATCCACGGCCCACGGACGCGACAGGTTACCCTCCCGCGATCCACAGGGGAAACCGCGTCCTTTTTCTTTCCGTTACTCTATATTCTTAACGGAGATATTTCTGGACACTGACGCCCGCCGCCTCCGAGACGAGAAACAGATCCACGCGCGATCCGCGGATTCCAGAGGATCGATTACCGTATACCGGCGGGGGCTCCGTGATCTAGCCACTCGGTGGTTCTTCGCGTTTCTTTTCTCTCGAATTTTGGTCGCGCCTCTTCCGGAAATCCGGGAGAAATTTTTTGTTTTACTGGGATTATGAATTAAGTTTGCAATTTGAAATTAATTATGGCCTTTTAACGTATCGACATGTTAGCAAATAATCATAGTTCTTTTACAATATTGATGATGGTTGACAGCGTGGTTCCAAGGAAATGTCGAAGTAAATGCCTTGCAAGTTTATATTTAAAAAGCAGAATTCGGTCCACAGAGGGTTGACACGTTCACTGTCCGTGACCCGTGTACGGGTCATAGCGCCATGCGTTTGGATACACCGCTAAGAGACCGGACAGTGAACGAGTGCTCCAAGTGCATAATAATGCTTACAAAGGTTGCGAAGTTGTAAACTTGAAGTTTGATGAATAGAGCTAGAAACCACCGTCCATTCAACAAGCAGAGTGAAATAGCGTAAAGCCTCAGTCACGAGTGCATAAATAGGAGAACACGAATCGAGTTTCGTAGGCCCCAGGAGGGGGTTGTAAACGCAAATATTGGTTCCCGTTTGGAATTCTCAAGGTTCAGAGCGTTCGATCGGGATGCGATTATGGAATTCACGTCGAGGCACGAAACGCCAGAAGCCGCGGCAGCGAAGCACGCGCTGCTTGAGCTCGCGGTGTATTTCCGTCGGCCTTTCATCGACGCGAATACTCCTCATTGTCGGAGCGGCTGACGCTTCGCCGAAGAATAGAGCCGTAAACATTGTTCACGGACGAGCGTGGCTCGATCGAGGCCGTAACACTCGAAATCCGAGGTCCACGAGTTTTAAAAAAAATTTTTTATTCCATTTCATTTCCGACAAAAATGTCATATACGGGCCGAAAAATCCTATGCAATGTGAGGAATAAATTTACTTTTTGATTTATCCGTTTTAGATTCGCAGGAGAGTCGCAATCGCGTCACTTCGTACATGTATTCCGGTAGCTCTCGCAATTGTTGCCATTTTGTATCAAAAAGAAAATTGTAAGCACTTTGAAAATATGTTTCCATGCATGTCTA